CACTCACCAACATATCACTATTTTCAATTAAAATTAATTTATTGATCAGGACATCAATTTACCAGTATTTGCTTGGAAATATGTGGATGCAGTACATGTAGTTTAATACTTTGCTTACATATATATGTACATATATATGCAAAAAATCAATAGTAAATTGCATCTGTTGATATTACATATATAAAGCTCAATATGCATATGTGTAAAGATATGTACCTGTGCTGGTTTTGGCTGGGATAGAGTTAATTTTCTTCACAGTAGCTAGCATGGGGCTGTGTTCTGGATTTGTGCTGGAAACAGTGTTGATGACACAGGGATGTTTCGTCACTGCCGAGCAGTGCTTACACACAGCCAAGGCCTTTTCTGCTCCTCACCCCACCCCACCAGCGAGCAGGCTGGGGGTGCACAAGAAGCTGGGAGGGGACACAGCCGGGACAGCTGACCCCAACTGACCAAAGGGACATTCCGTACCATATGATGTCATGCTCAGCATATAAAGCTGGGGGAAGAAGAAGGAAGGGGGGACATTTGGAGTGATGGTGTTTGTCTTCCCAAGTAACTGTTACGCGTGATGGAGCCCTGCTTTCCTGGAGATGGCTGAACACTTGCCTGCCAATGGGAAGTGGTGACTGATTTCCTTGTTTTGCTTTGCTTGCGTGCACGGCTTTTGCTTTCCCGGTTAAACTGTCCTTATCTCAATCCACGAGTTTTCTCACTTTCACTCTTCTGATTCTCTCCCCCATCCCACTGAGGGGGAGTGAGCAAGTGGCTGTGTGGGGCTGAGTTGCCAGCTGGGGTTAAACCACAACAGTACCCATACGCATATACATCCACACACTAAAATGTGCAAACAGAGACATGTATATGAATAAGGACAAACATTTCAAACACATACATTACACTTTTTTAACTGTGCATAAACAATATCATCCTATAGTATCTGAAAGCCATTTGAAGACTGGTGTAGAAATCATTGGTGAAAAAAAATCCCTTCCTCTTCATTGCAAATGTTTGTTAAATGTAAATGCTGATATTCTACTCCTTGGAAGAACGTTCGTCTGCATGTGGAACTTCATGATAAAAAGCTTTAAAATCCCAGGTTTCTCTAGATAAACCCCACTGGCTTACTGATGCATGAATGCACTGAAATTGAATTACTGTACAAAAGCAATTACTTTTCACAGTACAGTTATTATGAGAATCAGCTTCACAATGAACATCAGGTAGCTACAGTAGGAAAAGTTAATAAAAAGAAATCTCTTTTATTTGCATTTTCCGCTGCAGCAATGGTAGTTGCCTTAAAGAAAAATAATCCTTAACACTTGTTTTGCCATCTTATAAGTAAATCAACAATCATTTTTACAGGATTCTCTTTACTTTCAAAGAAACACTAATGAAAATAGAAATTTAACTGCATAGCTAAAGTTTTAATAATAGCTTTTTGAATATTCCCTAGTAACTTATTTATCTTTCACTTTGCTTTCTTTTTCACTTCCCTCTATCTTCCGTTGAATTTTTTTTTCCTATTACACCATTAACTAGGAAAAGTAACAGCACCAAATGAATAGTTTTAATTCCACCTCTTTTTCACTATCAATTTTGTTGCAGTAGACATTTGTTACTGAGCATTATGTCTTCGTGCTCTAGTCTCTTCAGTTTCAAAGGAGTGGAGTCGCTAAAGTACCACAAAACCTTAAAAAGATTAAAAAAAAAAAAAAATCACAGCTAACTTTAAATTAAGACTGATCAAGCACATTTCCTATGAGTGAAATCACTAAAAGTCCAGGAAAAGCAACCAAAGCAATACTACAACCGACAGTGGACTACACAAGGCTCTCAAAGGGATTATTTGGGTTTGGCCCACTACTGAACAACGCAGGAAACATTTCCACTTATCCCACCTTACAGGCAGTAAGATTTTTCCCAGCTTGGATGTCATAGTCTTAAAAATAAATGTATACATCTACATTTGTCACAGCTAGAAAGAAAGCATCAGCGACATTGAATCAAAACCACTCTTCAGTGGTTTTAACTTAAATCATGTCACAAATACTGAAAAATAAAATCTGAAGTTGCCTCTCTGAAATTCAATCAAGTAGGGCAGTATTAGGAAGGAAATGGTTAACAGGAATATCCCAAACTGACATAAATCTAAGATAAATAGTGAACACTGGGGAGGAGAGGAGGGAAGAGGAAAAAAAAAAAGTTGCTTGCAAGGGTTTCCATCAGTAAGTAGATGACAAAAGGTTATATAATTGGTTTAGCACTTTCAGTTTTCCATTTATTTTATGTATCTGACAGCACAAAAATAGGACATTCTGTGATAGGATAATTGCATACTGAAGGGTAATTCAAACAGGGGATGAATATGATAAAAATCACACTGAACCAACTAATCACTATGAAAAGCGATGAGACAGAATGATAAAAATTCAACCAGAATATAAAGGGGGAGGAGGGAGAAGAGAGTTCAAATGTGATTAGTAGCTTTGAACAAGTTAATGTATTTGAAAGCATAAAGCAAAACAAAAAAACCTGAAGGCCTTTCCAAGCCATACTATTTCTATATTTCCAGGTCTTTCTTCTTAGCCTGTTCTACAAATTAAACATTTTATATACTGTGGTTTTCTGAATAGTCACCACAGCTTGCTACATCTGCTAGAACCTGAAAAAGCATGTTGATTAAAATGTTTTATTTAAAAAATATTTTAAATTAAACCACGGATTTTGATGTCTACTTGAAGCTAATTCAGTGAGCAGTGTAGGATAACAATTTGGGGTAATATCGGAACACGTTTTCTGAGCACTTGGATTTGAACCCTTGCAATGGTCACTCCATTATTTCTAGGGATGAGAGATATTTTATAAGGTACTTTTCATTTAGTACTTACCCCAATATTACCGCCAGCATATCTAAAATATTACTCCGAATTCTAGGTTTCGGTGCTCTTTGTACAAGTTTCCATCAAAAACTTATGTCAAAATTCTGTTACTTTAGAGGCAAGGTGATGCAGTATTACTTTGTCTCAGCATGGAGCAGAGGTTTTAGGTCCATATGAGCTTTGTAACTCCTATCTCACCTCTCCACATATAAGGGGACAAGTAGCTATGATGTACCAATGTGCAAAACCTGCACTATACCAAAGGATTTTGTCCTTATCAGGCCATAAAATACTAAGCACTACCTACTACCAGAACATTAAAAGGTCACTCACTACATCTCTAGCAACGAAGATGGACTACTTTATGTAATTATGCAAAAAAAGAATAACTTTATTGGAAGGTACACTAAACATACCATTTTTTAAAAGAAGTGACCCTATCCAAACCAAGCTTCTAGCTTCCTTTCCAAAGATGGACACCTTCCAAAGAAGCCTCTGGATTTCAGTCAGTTTTTCCAGCACTAAAATGCTTTCACACAATACTATATGCATAGTTTAACTTCATAGAATTTGAGCTTATTTTCACTCAGAGCATGGTGGCCTATATTGGTCCTGTATTTTTTTCCTCCTTAGGCAAAAACACCATCTGTATGAAGAGGCCAAACTAGTTCTAAACACTCACAAATGTTAGAAAACATTCACTACAAAGCTCTAATTGAGAGACAAACTGTTCTTCCCCAAGAGCACTCCACGCCGATGGAATAGACCTCCGCTTTCCTTGCGTATAGCTTGCTGGTCACCTCTCGCTCTAAACAAGTGCTGCTCCAAGAATGTTTTTTTCACATTGTTATGATCTCAGAGCAGCAGTTTTCTCTGCTAAGGAACAAGGAAAACAATCCCCCCCCAGAGTCAATATTCTGCAGGCTTCTGGAACTGTTGCACACATCTTAAAGTGCAGTTTTTCTCTGAAAAACAGACTGTAAAAATAGCATTGCGGGGTTCCATGTTTATTGTCTTTCTCTGCTTCCCTGCCAAGTGTGCTCAGTTTACAAGCTGAAATATGTTTTACTTTGCTGCCAACCCAGAAAATTCAACCTTTAAAACACAGCCAAATTCTTTCCTCCCTTTTGCACCATAACAAAAAATAAAAGGCTGAAGGTGAAATTGTATCTACAGTTACACAAATGGAATCCCTGTCCTTGGGTGATGCCTTAAGCTCCACAGTTGAGACACAAAGACCTTCAGCTCAATTGAGCTGACAAATCTGGCTGAAATAGAGTGGCTGGTGGTAAACGGCATCACCATAACGTCCTGTTAGTCTGTTGATATAGGGGATGTAACAGGAACTACTGTTACACCTAAATTTCTAGCAAAGAATAATGCAAAATGAAAACTACAACAGGAAAACCTGTTATTCTTTAGGACATGCATGTTACAATGAACTCCTATTTGATATAGTAAAACATAGAAGTCAGAACTTTTTCTTTTTTTATGGTAAATCTAATCTAATAGGATGCCAAAGCTACTACAAAAGAAGGATCAAAATGGAGATTAAAAAAATCCACAAACCCCAAAACCTATAGATGTACAGAAAGCTCAATGTAGCTACTTAATGATCATTAATAAGTTGCCTTTAGAGTGATGTAGTACTTACCACAATTAGAGGAATTTTTTATTTAGTCCCCTGTGAGGCATCTGCATCTTCTAGATTTAAACTAAAGGACAGTTATTTAACTCAGAAGATTCCCTGCAATACTATTTTTATAATAGTGAGCACTGAAATTAAGTTGCTTTGGTTTGATATTTTGAAATCTAACATTTTAATGCACAACCATACGTAGTTATATTTTACTGAACACAAGTGATACCTTACAAACTCATAAGGGAAACTGGTAGTCCAAACCTAGTTACACTCTCTTGCATTTATCTATTGATGGTATAAATAATTTATATATATTCTCCTGAACACTGATCTTAAAAAACTTCTGAATTCTTTAGCATTTCCACTTCAGTCACCTGTACAGCCTTCAATCGCTAGTACAGCCTTCAGAGCAGAGCCTAAATTATACACTTAGTTTTACATCATAGAATGAAATAGCAGATTGATCTGCTGCTTACCCGTACAGCTTCAGACTTTTTATGAAACATTTCTTCCATATTCTTTGCTAACTTTTTCACAAGCTGAAGGCCATCAATTTCTTCTATTGCAACATCCTTCTCATATTCTTTGTATTTCTGGAAGAAAAGAAAAAAAAAGAAAAAAGAATTAGGGAAAAGTTATTCACAGTGAACCAGCTGAAATTTTGACAACTAATTATTAGTTTCATATTACATTTTGATGACATTCTTCATTTATTTGATGTTTATTTGTGTGACAGAAGTCTGCTTTGTGCCAAGATGCTGTCACAGGGATGGAACAACTGGGTTAGAACCAGAACTCTGTTAAGAAAATATAACACAAATATTTGCCTTGTGCATTGTAGGAAAATGATAAATTCCCCTTCACAACGTTTAAATTACCTCTCCCCACAACCGAACAACAGCCAAAAAAAGTAGTAAAAAATCCTCATAACCCATCCAAAAACCATTTCAAACCAGTGATAGCTTGGCAATCCTCTGTGCCTTAGCAACCTAGAATCCTCCTCCTCCTCAGCTGAACTTGTAGACGTCTACTTCACGAGCTTTATACAATACTTACATTATCAATACTTAGACTACAAGCTTATCTAGACATTCTTAACTTTCCATTCAAAGAAAACCCTAATAAACCACATAAATGTGAGTCTTTATTCAAATACAAGCCTAAAAGTATCCTTTATACAATATGGATGAGCATTAGCTTATGGTCTCTTTTCACAGGGTGAATAACTCTCAGACTGACTAAGCACTAAAAATACATTCAAAATAATTTTTATCCTCTATTTTCTGCATATCAACATTTTTTCTTTATCAGTGTTTACAATGAAGCTTGTAAAAATATATTATACAAAAAAGCATAATATTCTTTGAAGTCAATCTTCAAACCACTTAGTACTGAGAACATTCCTCTTTCCTATGTCATTCCATCATAGCCTGTATTCTAAGAAGTGATGGCTTTCAGTCTAGTTACTTGCTTATCTCTATTTAAAACATGTACGAGTTGCGACAAACTGATCATCGCCCATTACCGAACCCTTAACTTGCTCACATAATTGTACCTCCATGTTACTGCGAGGAAGATGAAAAGCATACCTGGCTTCTGCCAGCTTTAGCCCTATGTGCAAAAAATATCTCCCAAACCTCTAAAGCAGACTCTTAGTGCAACCCACAGCACAATAGTTGAGTCAATAAAATGAGCTGGTATTATTAAAAAGATTTATCAATAAAACTTGCCTATAGAATTACAATTATCTCCAAACCTTATATAACTCCAGAGAGAGAAGAAAGTATAACAACATCAAAAACAGTGGCTCAAAGCACCTGGATGAACACTAAAATGATCAAAACAGTGAATAAATCGGGACCAGTCATGTCCTGGTTGGTGATGGAAGGACGGACTCTATTATAAGCGAATGCCTGCACATATTGTACCCATTTCTTCTGACAAAACTAATTTTCAAGGTAAAGTGACACTTTGGACTTGCTTTAAATCTTTATACTTCTCTGTAAAAACTTGTGTGAATGTTTTTATAGACAAATGATATTTGATAAAACATCATTTGCAGACAATTTCATAAGAAGGTTAAAATATACAAAATTGCCAGTAAACATATAGGACACTAAATTTTTTATATACCGTAATCTTCCCATTTCAGTAATAATTTCATTTTTTTCCCCACACTATTTCCAGTTATGAGGCTGTATTCTAGCTGAGATTTTAATATTAATCCAAGTAATCTAAGAAACCTCAAGCAGACCACCTGCATTTTGCTCCCTGGAGGCAGGAGGGGAGATTTGTTTTTTCCCCTTTTTGGTCTGTAGTTAAATGCCATAAGCAGAGTTCTGATTTCAACTCTGCAAGTCCACTTATGCCATTACTAAACTCATTACTCTCCACTCTGAAAAAATTAATTTAGGATAGCACAGTGATTTGTCTAAAATAGAAAAATATTGGGTTTTTTATTTACTGGAGAAAATACAAGGACACAGTAGACAACAGAGAGGTAAATGTTATTGTAACAAATACTAGCTGTGATAAAATGTAGTAAATTAAAAGTAAATTGAAAACATTCCCAGTTAATTAATGATGTCAAAGTCTGTTTACATCCCACAGGATTTGAAGCTTTGGAGAATTTAAAACAAATGAAACAAAATGCAGTGTCATGAATAACTATCATATTTATTATGTCAATAGATCAAGTACAAATTTGAATCACTTATTTCAAGCGGCACAGATCAAGTTCAAAATACCAGGTTCTGATAAAAATGGTTTCCTTCAGACTTGACCTTTGAGTTCTTAGAAGCATTCTAAAATGCATCACTTCAAGAGACTGTTTTCAGGTCATCAGTGAAGTGATGAAAACAAGGAGTTTATTCACTGCGTTTGTCTGAAAACTGAATGGTACAGTTGAAGTCGACAAATTTTCTAGGCACGGAGAATCATACCATATAGTCCATTAGGCTATTGTGAGAACATGTTGAAAAGCCACCCTTCTCAATTTTAAGTAACTGGTGCTTTTGAAAATTAACAATAACTTGCACTCAAAATAGATGGGAATGATTTATTAACTGATAATTTATTATTTTATAATTATGCTAGTTCATAATACTTAAATTCATTTTTTCCTAATTTAAACGTCAAAGTTCCAACATTAAAAAAAATTGGAGGAAATAGAACATATTATTTAAGTTCTGTTTGAGAAGATCACACATCTTGCATGGTGCATGCCTAGTCAATTGTTGGAAACCTTCAAGAACATTTGCAAAAAACTTGGAGCATTTACTTGATCTGCAAGACCTTGGCAACCAAGAGATTTACATAATAAGAGGTTTACATAATATGTATTTTACATTCATACATTTCATTGCCATAAAAACACTTCTATTATTTTTTCAGCCATCAGTGGAAGATTCCAAAACAGGAAAAATTATGTGGTTGGAAAAAACACCAGCTATTTTTAGTATCCTTGTGCTCTAGTGATTGTGACTGGAGGGAAGAGGTGACAACTTAATCTGTGCGTGTCTGTGCACTTCCTCTTAGTACTCAATGTGCGTTAGGCTGGGAATTTAGATTCACTCTAGAAAGCAGTTGATTTTATAATAACTATCAATGCAAGAAACCTGAATCACAGCTGATAGTGAGAAAACAAAACCACACCAAAACTGTAACAAAGGACGTCATTAATAATGGATTGTCTTCCTTTCACTGCAGAGGCTGTCTGACCTCCAGGCTCTCATCATTTCCCTATCACTAGATTTCACATATTAAATTTGTTTTTAATTTAAATAAATTAGTTAAACAGCAGAGACATAGTTCCTTTAAAATAAATTTGAAACAGTTTTAAATGAATTATTTATTTTCTTTTAATGTAATCTTGAGAAAACAGCAGTGTGCCACTAGAGTTGCAATTAAGCAAAATGCTATCACAGACAGTGGTGAAAAAAACCTAGCTTTTGGGTCAGGCTGTGCTTTATATTCCAGACATGCAAACTACCTTATAGTACTGCTACTCTGAATGGCTCTTCCAAGCAATGCCTTAAATAGCCATTGCAATCCACTGTAAAAAATATGAAGTTGATGATATAGTTTTTTGGGGGTTTTTTGGTTGGTTGTTTGTTTAAAAAAAAAAAAAAAGATGAAACCCTTGATTTTTTTCAATATTCCATAATTTTATTCCAGTAAGAGATACTGAAAAATTCTCATCAACGTTTGTAACACGCTCAGTAATACATTTGTACTGTTATTAAAAGGAGAGAAAACAGCCTTAACTTTGCTATAAATAATTGACTTGCATAACAAAAGGGTATGAAAAGTTAGAGTTACAGTTGGACATTTCTTTAGATAAGTGGATTTCTAATTGTCTAGAAGATCGAGCAGACAGAACTTCTGATTTGCTGTATTATAAAAAAAACTTGAAATGCTGATTCTTTCTGCTTACAAAAATCAGCATTTGGTAAGAAATTCTCCAGAGAGACAAGACCATTTATCATTTGAGAAAGCACACAAAAAATACATTATTTCTTCAGTATCTGTTTTGCCAGATCATTTCACATAAGCGCCAGGGAAAGACAGACAGTACTTCACTGTCAGAACTTTTAACCTGTTCATGGATTTAAGCATGGAGCTTTTTTCTTGCGCAGTAAATTTCAGCTAGAAATAACATACCAGAAAGCAATCTATACAAAACTCAGGTCTGAAGCATTTAATGCAATCCAAGTATTTGGCATAAAACACCAACACACACACACAAAAAAAAAGACAAGACAAATAAAAATCAAAACCAACAACAACAACAAAAAAATCAAAACAAACAAATTAAACCACCACACCAAGAACCATGCAGCTTGAGTGACCAAGGCAGGAAAAGAAATACCCTCTTGAAGCAAGACATCGTCAGAAAGATGCCTTACGTCAGCTACAGTTTCCGGTTTTACTCCTTGTTTTTTCTCCAAAGAGAAACATCATCTTTGTGTTCCTATTTGTATCTACTTCTACCAATTCTTCTCAAAATCAAGATAATTGCCTTTATGCCTTATGTAAAAATATTTCAAGTTACATACAAGTGTGTAAACGGTCCTTAGTATCAGTCTTCCGACAAGTCTGTGGGTGCTTTGTACATGCACACAACAATACAATCATTTATGATGAAAATTCTTCCCACTCCCCGGGATTTTCAGAGCCAGTAAATATCACTACCATCCTGATCAAAGAAATTTATTTACTCAATAGGAATATTGTAATAAACATTTAAAAGTAATCTGTCAGTTTGTGTTGCATATTAGGAACCATATATGCCTCTGAGGTGTGTTCATACCTACAGCTTGCATAGTTGTACGTACTTTACAAATGTTGCTATTTGAGACTGGTTTTGTCACATACATGTTAAATATATATATGCATGTATATATTTTTTGTTTTATAATGAAAAAGCAGAACCGTCAGGCAAATGAAAGATCAAATATCCATTCAATCTATCCGTTGTTTCCATGGAAAAAAAAAAAAGTATGTTCACTCCATGCCATTTGCAAAAAAAAAAAACCAACCCAAAAACCCAACACCAAAAACACTTTCAGATGTTCAAGTCTCAACATTGCAA